GGGCAGATGCCTGGGCACCGCTCGCTCACACGGCCGTGTGGAAGACATGATTGTGCGCGAGAAGCAGCTGGACACCCCAGGATGAACTTCCGTCCCCAAGCTTGTGGCCCTCCAGGGCCAGCAGGGGCCCAAGCATGCAGCTGTCTTGCACTTCAGGTCCCAGAAGCCCCTTGCTGACCCACCCAATGCTCCGGGAGCCGAAATCCAAAACATCACAGTCTACTGTCCGTTCGGCACCAGCGCTGTTGCCATTGGGACAAACAGCCAGTCGGACAAACAGCCATGCGGATTGTTTGCAATGCTTCGCACACAGCAAAGCTTCCCAACCTTGTGTCAGTGCCCTGCCCCAGCCCAGTGCTCCTAAACAGTTAGTTGGCCGAATTGGCTGCCATTTCAATTTCCCACAATGCCCTTGAGATGGAAATGTCCCTCAGCATTGTAGAAATAGAAACCAAGACCAACCAGCCAGCCAGCCAGGACCAATCATAAAAAGTTGCCTTTTCAGACCATGGGTCAGTCTAGCCCAATGGAGTTGACACCAAATGAAACCAGACCACCTCGGGCCATTTCTGGTGCTTCTCAAGGAGCCACCAGGCAGGGTGAGCATCTCAGTGAAAGAGCGCATGCTTTGCACGCAGATGGTCCATGGCTCAATCTGCGGTGTCTCCAGGTGGGAGAGCTGGACTCGAAACCCTGCAAAGCTGCGGCTGCCAGTCTGAGTAACAATGCCGAGTTAGATAAACCAGCTCAAGGTAAGGCAGCTTTGGATGTTCCAGAGTGGGAGCCAGTCCGAAGCTCAGCCTCGCTGCCATTCCATGCCCGGAGATGGAGACATCCAGTCTCCTGCAGTGTTCGAGCTGAACTGGGCCATTTTCCAGTGCTGACTCAGTCCAGTCGACGCCGTGGGTCTGCACACACCTGCAGTCGGAGCAGAACAAAAGCCTTCATCTGTTCCAGAACGATGCAACTTTACATGAGGTCTGTCCTCGTGACAAATTGTAATAGCTCCAAGTTCTGAAAGGAGCAGCTCACCAAGGAAGGATTCTATGCCATTATTGCTCAATGCCTTTGTACAATTTGTCAGTAGCATCAGATTAGCAAATGTTTCCAGCACTTGAAAAGGCATCAGCTGCCCCCGGCTAATGAGGATGTATTTTTAACTGCCTCGAGCACATTAAAACAAAGCAGCTGACCTTGCCTTTTTCTGTATTTCTATTCTCGTTCCTCCAACACTGCTGACAACACCGGATCTCTCATGATGTGTGATTTCGTATGCTGGTTTGGGATGATGGGTTTTGTAGTCCAATGCATCTGAGGGGTACCAGGATGGGGAAGACTTTTGAGTTGGGGGTGAGCAACATCTGGCCTTCCAGATGGGCTGGCCTACAATTCCCACAATCCCTCTCCATGGATTAGGCTGGCCAGAATGGATGAGTATTTTATACCAAACATCTAGGGAGCCACCTTCTAGGGCATACCCCTACTTTAGATGATTGGGTTTTAGTCAAAGGAGTAAGTTCTCAGTGGGGCATCTCTGTTTTAAATATGAGGAGGTCAAAGGTGGAGATGGAGAAGAATTGTGTTCCAGTTAGTTATTTATCCACATGGATTTATAGGCCACCTGTACTGGCTGAGGCCTGCCTTCCTTTCTTCCAGAAGGCATCCAGTTTGCACCTCTTGGAAATGAGCATGGAGACTGACAACATCTGCAGGCAAAGGTCCACATATCTTTGAGCCTGCCATTTGATTCAGGCAGAAGCGACAACAAGCATTCAAAATTGTGCAGGTTTGGAAAGGGCCCATTAAAATACATACATTTACAAAGCTGTGCTCAGGCAGGCTTGGGCCAATGGGAGAAAAAGGTGCATGATCGAGAAATGCACAATGAAATATGCACGAGTCTCCATGCAGAAGGTAGAGCTGTTTGCAGCCAGATATGGGTCTGGGTCAGAACAAGCTTTGGTTGGAAATGGGAGAATCCCAACACACACTGACGTTTGGAAGGTCCACAGCATCTTTGGCCAAAGGCGTGCTTTTTCTTCTGCTTTTTTCCAACCTGTGAGTGGTTGGTAACAAAGTGGGCTGGTTATCCATGATCTTTGCAGCTACGTCCACCTACCCGTTTGAGCTGGTCAGTTCTGTCTTTTCAGGTCCACAGCTCAGGGAAGTCCACGCTTTGCATGCAGAAGGTCTCAAACCCTGGCATCTCCACTTAAGTCACGGCACTGGGCCACACACCCCAGTTGGCATTCAACTTGACTGTGCCGTCTCTCAGAATGGTCCAGGAACAACCAACCTGGAGCTGTACTGGATATTTTGGCCTACAGAAAGTAGAATCCATGACCAGCAGCTATGCTAGCCCAGGCTGGTGGAATCCATAGTCCAAAACACCTAGTCGCCAAACCCTGGAAAAGACAGTCCTACTGGGCTTGGTGAGCTGGTGATTCATCACAGGACAATGCCAGCATGTGACCAGTTCTCCTTATCTCCCCCACACAGTCCAGATAGTGTTCCTTGTGCCTCCATCAAAGCTATCAAGATAGGAAAGACGAGCTGTCAAACTAGATGGGTGGATGGATTGTAATTATGCAACAGCTCTTATCTTTTAAGAACAAGAAGGAAACATCAAAACACAACTCACTGCAAGCAGAGTTTATCCTCTCCAGAGCTATGAATAAGAACCTGGAAAGCAAATATTTTGTGAAATCCAAGTCTTAGTAAAATCAGATCCCACCCAAGAGGCTTAATAGAATTCGGTAATGAATTTACTAAACCCATAGGGACACGTTCATTAAATTCGTAGAAATCCAGGGACATGCCAGGTTTTATTTAATGTCTTTATTAATGGCCTGGAAGTAAGAATAAGCAACACATTAATTAAATTTCGCAGTTGCTGCTGAACGACGAGGTGCTGAAGCCCCAGCAAGAGAAAGAGTGCTCAGAGGGACGTTAAGGATTCTTTCCAATGGAAAGCCAAGCAAACAAGATTTGACTCTGGAAAGTGTTTGATCAAAGGGGTTAGTGGACTACTATAAACTATGAATATTCAATCAGAAGCTCTGCTTGTGAAATTTGGAGCCTAGAGCAGGAAGCTAGTTAGAGGGGGACCCAGCTGCAAAGGCAGCTGTTTAACAATACAACATTGTATTTTGCTCACTGAAGCATCTCTCCAAAGAACTAGACAAAACAGGCTTCTTCTCTTAGGTGGTCTAATCTATACAAAAATATCCAGGGAGAGTCCAGACATGAGTTATCTCAGAGTGGGTCCAAGTGACCCCTGAAAGCAAAAATGCAACAAAATTTTCTTGGAGTTCTCCCACGCAACACCCAAAGCTCCACTGCAAAGGTGGGATTTCCACCGCCAATTTCAAATATGTTGCCCCCTTTCAAAATAAATGTATTTTCATGGGAAACTGCCATCAGGCACATTTTCATGCAGAATTTCTCGTAATACTTCTTTCACTGGTATTGCATTAAAGGTCTTCCTTGCTCTGCTTTCCTTCTGGGAGTGATGGCGGTTCCCAGTAGCCATTGTCAAGGCTGGTGGGGCAGAAGATGCCATCAGCGTCAACCCTGCCAAATTTTCCACACCTGTCCAAAGCAGCCGTAGATAAAGTCATCTTTATGGCTCTACCTTGGAAACCAGTACATAGGCATTCCTAGGAACACATTATCTCTTAGTTCTCTCTCATCTTCTTTGGAGAAGATAGTCCTTTCCTTGGAGAGCTTTCCTGATGAGGTCCAAAACTGAAGCTCAAGAACCATAAGAAGGCAGACCTGCAGGGGCCTTGAAGTAGCCCATTACCTGTGAGCACATGAGCCACCTGGTCAGATCTTCTCCATGATGGTGAGATGGACTGTGTTCCTTTTTAAATGAAAGCGATTATTTCCAAATTGCACATACATGTCTTTGACTTCCTTCCTTTTGGTGATGCATTCCCCCCTTGGGGAGAATTGCGGGCAAGGATACCGATGGGGCAGCCCCAACACCTCCACCTTGCAATCTGACCACTCTGTTGGTAACCCCAAAGTATTTAAAATGTGGCTTGGATTATTGTAATGTGCTCTACGTGGGGCTGCCCTTAAAGACGGTCTGGATACTTCAGTGGGTTCAGAATAGAGCTGCCTGGATATTAACCGGCAGGTATTCACATATAACGCCGGTCCTCTATCGCTTACACTGGCTACCGATTGAAGTCTGGGCCCAATTTAAGGGGTTGGTGATGACCTACAAAGCCCCAAATGAAATGTAATAATAATAATAATAATAATAATAATAATAATAATAATAATAATAATATGGTTTGGGTCCAGGATACCTGAAGGAGCACCTTCTCCCCTATGTGCCCTCCCGCCCCTTGAGATCTGAGGTGGAGGTCCTGCTCTGAAGAAGGAGATTCGGAGGGAGAGCACCCAGAGGAGGGCCTTCTCTGCGGTGGCACCCCAACTGTGGAACACGCTCCCCAGGGAGGTCCGCCTGGCACCCATGCTTTTTCTTTTCGGCACCAGGTGAAAACCTTTCTATTTTCCCAGTATTTTAATTGTTAATTGCTCTTACTTCTTGCTTTATATTTATCACTGGATGCTGTGCCATTTTTATCTTATTTTATTCATGCCTGTTGTAAACCATCCAGTAATGGGATGGTATATAAAAGCTTTAAACAAACAGATAATGGCCCAGCCCTGCGTTCCCACAGCCTTCCTCCACACATCAGTCTCAGAAGTAGCCCTGCAGAGCAACGCATAGCCAAAGGCCTGGCCGTTGCCCAAACAGTTATGATAGAGGCAAGGAAAGAACAAGGAGATATTCAAACAGTTTGAAAAAAAGGAAATGGGGAGGGGGAAGCACTAGCCCTTTAAGAAGGGGAACGGTCTTGTAATATGAGAGGTGCCTGTTTTAACCCAGCCCAATTTGTGACTGGTGGGGAAAGTCAGTTTGTCCCTCCCTCCGCAGCAAGTTTATTAAATATAGTAGTAGCTGAACCCTCAATTGAAAACAGACAGTCTCTGTCTGCAGCTCCTGCCTCGTTCGCCTGCTCGCTGTCCGGGGAATGGTCTGAGAACTGCTGGCCCGGTCTGGTTGCAGCTATGGGATACAGGCTCCCTCCAGCAGCATCGGCCGTCCCATTACTGATCCAGCTGCTGCTGCATGCACCACCACTCTGTGCAAACCCCGAGTCTGGAGGTAAGCCCATGCCCTGGTCTCTTCTCCTCCTGATGTTTCTCCCTGTTTCTTCAGGGGGGTTGCCCAGGGTGGCCAGAGGTGGCTATGAGGGCTTTGCTGGAGAGGAGCGCAGGTGGTCAGTGATGGGATCCCGTTGTTTAAGGGAAGTGCAATGATCTGACGTTCAGAGCCACTGAGAGAACGGGCTTTGGAGCGATGCAGAGAGAGAACAGAGCCAGTTAGCATGGTCTGACCTCAAGTCATGGACTCCGGGCTTTTGGCGCTCTCATGTTTGGGTCGAGGTTCCTTTGGAAATGATTTGAATCAAGCATCTGCTGACACATGTATAAAAGGAGGTTTCAAGCGGAGAGGGAGAAGACCTTTCGGTATTTGCAGGGATATCTTGGTTTTGGAGGTGAATCAAGAGGCAGATGTCTACAACAGCACCTGATGGAATGGTTCTGTTGGACCCTGAAGGAGACATCCTAGGAAAGCAGATATATTCTTACACTAATCGCAGGTTGGCTGCCACAGTGGAACTGTGAAGTCACCCAGCTTGCTAGTTGGGATTCTAGCTACCCAGGTTTACCTAGCTGACTTCTCATGGAATAGAGGGGTGGAAGAGGCAAGTTCTGCCTACAAGTTCTGTGGGGCTGGACGGAGCACCAATATCTTTTGGAGATCTTCCTATAGAGGGCACAGTTTGATTGTTAAACTCCCAGACTTCCTTTCTTCCCGAGGCTTCAACTTGGAGCATCCTTTTTTTTAAGAGGGTCATATATGCTTTTAAGCTACTATAAGTAATAAATGAAGAATGCCAGCTATGTGCGTTCTGAATAGGGATCGTTCTTATTTTTATTTTTGGTGTTTTGCTTATGCATGATTTGATGTTTGCAGTTATGCACACATGGCTGACTTAACTCCTACAGGACCATCCTACAACAGCGCCCTGGAAACTTGAATTGTCCACTATTCTTCCAGGTGATGACCTTAGTTTTCCAGTGGGAGATCCAGGGCAAGATTCCTAAGGAGTTTGGCATGTTCTGTGTCCATGAAGCATCTTCTTAGAAGTTATGGTTGAGTGGAGGAAAGTTAGAAGCGTGGCCAATGCTGCTGTGAGAGCAGGAGTTGTCACAACGTTTAAGATTTCTGCATGCTTGTGGAAGACGGCTCTTTCTGCCTTTCTGTAGGAGGAGTACTGCCCCCTCAGCAATGATCCTGGACAATTTTAGGAGAATTAAGTAATTTTACCTCTGTTGCTATAGCCGTCCTTAAAAATGCCTATTAAACTGGTGACCCTGAAATACATGCAGAAATTGACTGAGTTGGTGTGGAAGGTTTGGGTGCTCAGGGAACAAAGTAACTTTCGGTTCAAGTTCCATGAGGGGCGGGGACATAATCTGCTTGGCTGGATGAAAACCACCCAAAACAAGGGACTGTGACTTGCTGGGTCGAGAAGAAGATGCAGTGAATGTAAGAGCCAGGGGAGCCCGAGAGATGGAGGCTGAGGGAAAGATGCATGAACAGGGGCAAACTGAGAAACGCTAATATGGAGGAAGGATCGCTGAGAGGAGAGGTGAAAGGGTATGTCAATCAGGAATGGGCGCATCAATGAGGAGATTCTGTGGTGTTTAAAGTCAGGAGGGGGTTTATGCTCTCAAGGGTGGGAAGGCCAATCAGAGATGCCTGGCTAACGGGAGTGGTTGCTTGGTCCTTCATCCAGAAACCCTAGTAAGGGAATATTGCCAGTGCTGTCAGAATTGGCACCAGACTGCCATCAAACGGCGATCTGTGCGAGGCGGCAAGAGCCCAAAAGTGTGCGTGAATATTGCATTTTGATCAGCACCGAAGACTCAGTTCTTTGTGGCATGCTTCTAGGTTTATGTTGAAGTACGCCTACTTGGCATCATTATTCAAATCCCTGAATTATGCAGAATGGACTAGTCGGTTACCCAAAGTGGGTGCTTTGTCCATACAGAATGTGAATCAATACCCTATGTGCTTTTCATGGGGAGCTAGCCTTCGATGGCAAAGGACTTACCTTGGCAAAGTGAGCTGATTCGGTAAAAGAAGTGTGCTCTGAATTTGGGAGAGCATCATGAATTTCGGGGGTAGGTTATGTTACCCTGCCTCAGCAAACCCATGCAAAAGTGCCGTGGAATCTTAGGCAAAGGCTGTGAATCTCAACACACTTAGCCAGCTCTGCTGACCGTGGTGGAGCTTGCTTCTGAGTAAGCGCACCTAGGAAGGTACCATATGGAGACAGCTACACCACAAAGGGCCACCAAGCTGGTTAACTGATATTCTCTCTTTGATGGAATGCCTGCTAAAACCCCTATTGATTTGGGGGAGATGCTAGACACCTCCAGCCTAGTTCCTATCAGCCACACCAAAGCACAGGTCCCAACACCTTTTGAGGGAGAATAAACTGTGGTTAAAAACTATGATGTGTTTGTATTTTTTAAAAAACACCCTCCTCTTGGAGGGCTTGTTGTGGCGGGAATTTTCATGGCGATGGACTACTTCCTCAGGTCTACTGGGGGTGGGGGAGTCATTTATGATCAGTACACAGCTCAGTAAGGTTAGAGGCTGGGCTGAATGATCTTATGCCCCCCTGCAGTCCAGATGGCCACCTGAAACATGCAACTAACTTCATTTTCCTGCATAAAAGAATCCCAGTGTATTGTCTGTGCTGATATGTATTGTCCATATTAGAAATTAGAGGCTTCGGCAAGGGGCGGCATAGAAATATTCTAATAATAATAATAGTAATAATAATAATAAATCTTGGTCTGTTAGAATGCAGTCCTGCAAGACTGATATTTGCTCGATGGAGGAGTTCGCAAGAAGAGCCAACCAGGATAGAGGAACGGGAGGGGGGGCATTTCCCCGGTCTTTCCTCCCTCTGAGAGAGAACCAGCCTCCAAGGCCGTCTTGCTTAGCTTACCCTCCTGAAGGCAGGGACAAAAACAGGGGCTTGTGGGTTCGGGAATCCATAGCATCCTCTTTTTCCCCAAGCACCAGGATGTCCCCTTTCTTCTCTCCATCCTCATGAGATCACAGCAGTCGCCTTGCCTCTGACTGGACCCATGGCCACTGGGCCAGGGGAAATCCAAGCAGGGATTCCCCAGTTTGTGGCTCCGTCTTTGGTCTGGTAAGGGGGAATCAGCAAGAACCAATCAGGCAGTGTTTATGGAGCACAGCGTTGCTCTCGTCGATGCTCGTTTGGGTGTGGGCAACTCTCATGCACTGGATTGCTGTGCTCTCCTAACCTAGCCAATCGATTGTTCCCCACTGCGATGCAAAGAATTTGGCTGCTTTGGTCTTATAAGGAAAATTAAGACCTATTAACTTTACAAAAGCCCTGCTCCCAATGGAAATTAAACTGCTGGAACTGTTTCGTGATATGGATTAGCACAATGGTCTGCATTTGTAGACTTCCCTGTACAACTATGAAGACTTTTCCTGCAGAGTCCCTGCTCTCCGGCTCTGCATAGCATATCACCCCTTTGGGTTTCTAGTAAACAGTCAATGGGCTCATCAAGGACTTTTATCTGAACTGGAAATATCCAAAAACAAAACACAGCTGTGAACTCCACAGAAATGTGAAGTCTAGACTGAGGTGAGGGATTGCTAATCTTGGAAGGAATTATACTGCGAGGTTTCCAGCTGCAAAAAATTGCAGGTCCTCCATTCAGTACTTTTCTAGCATTTCTGGAATTTCTGCTCTGAAACACACAGGGGACAGGGTCCAGTTGCCCAGCCCCCACACCGTATGTGGGAACTGGCCATTCATGGGCCCAGAAGGGACCTGTTAGGCCCAAGGGAGATGGAGCGGCTCAGGCCCCCCTCCCCTCTTCCCCGGTCCTCCACTGAGTCATCGCATGCAGCTGGATCCTTCTCCTCCTTTTGAGTAGCCTCCTGGCAGCAGACCAGCTTTCCCAACTCTGCGCACTCCAGATGTTGCACTGCATATTCCAGCTAGGGGTTGTGGAAAGCGTAGTCCAGCACATCTGGAGCGCCACCACAGACTCTTCTAGGGGTGAAATAGGCAATTCTGAGCTTCCCACTGGGTGTGCCACTCCTTTCCTTCTTGAGGTCCAGTGGCGTGAAGGGGGAGCATTGGGGGTGAAGAGTGGGTTGTGGGGTCAAGCCAGTGCTGGGGGCATCTGGGAAAGCATCCCTGAGATGAAGTTCCACAGGCGGCCTTGGGATATGGCCAATCCCTCCCAATCTTCAGTTAGAGGAGGGCTCTCCACAGGTTCTCAGACCTTCAGAGAGGCCTCCAGACTGGTCAGGATCCTGTTCCAAATTTCACTTTGCTCCCTAGTGTGACCGAGTGGGAGAGGATGTATGTCGCATCCTTGCATTGCATTGTATCGCATTGCATTCCACTCCTCCTTCCTCTGGTTTTCTCTCACCATCCCATGTCTTCAGAGCACATTCAGCCCTCGTGGGTCTATTTCTGGAGTCTCCCTCCGCCACCCAGGGTCTCACAAGCCTCCGGTCTCTTGGGCACGGCTGCCAAAGTTTCGGTTCCATAAACACCAGCAGACACAACATGAACATCAGAAATAGGAGGAAAGATTCCAGTGGCGTATCCATTTCAAACCACATCATCAGTGACGGTTTGGGGCCTTTGCATGAGGTCAGGTGGCACCGCCTAGGTGGGGCAGGGAACAAACAGGATATGCAGGAGGGCTTATTGGACGATCGCGGCAAATACGGAGAGAAAGACGCCAGCCAGTTTCCAGAAAGCGGTGCCCATATTTTCCCACAGGGTGGGTTTGCATAACTTGGCAGCACTGGCATTTGGCAGCCTCACCACAGCCATTTCAATGCGCTCTGTCTTTTCTATTTCATCCCTGTCCAGTTCTCTGCCAAGGCAATCATAAGTCAGAGAAAGAGAAACCTCACCCAGCTTGGACCCTTTGCGGGACTGGCTGGCCTGCCCCTCAGGCACCCTTCAGGTCATCTCAGCAATGCCTTCTGCAGGACTTGAACAGCAACTCCCATCACGC